TCAGCTACAAAAGGGATGAACTTCGTCAAGTGATGGACTGATATTCAGGTAACTATTTTCACAAGATCTGGGCTTGGAGTGGTACGCGAAGGCTGGTCATCCTAGCGAGTGCTCTGGGCATCTGCCCATTTACAGTCAAACAAATCCATGGCCTACCGAGGCAGAAGAAATGCTTTGGTAAAGGCAAATCCTGCAACCACAAACTATACAATGTTAATTTTATCAATTAAACAAAACAGGTTCAAAGTGGGGTTAAGATCACATTTTACCTCTATAATTGGCATCATCAGGGAAATATCCAGAAATTCAGGCTAGAAAGAAATTCATCTGCTGAATGAAAAAAAAATTCTGCTAAACTCTGTTTTGCACGTCCTTGAGTACTGCCCAGGCCTGTGGATTCTGGAGTGATTCACTTAACGGGTCCAAGGCTGAAAGCAGCAAAGTGCACGCGACTCAGTCCACCCAAAGAGAACGCGTCTGCATGACTTAATGGCCCAAGTGCCAGTGTGTCCTTCTGGATGAGACCCAATCAAAGAAAAGATTCTGACCTGATGGATGTTTCTGGGCCAATTTAGTATCAAAGCTCTCTTGAAAATTTACCCTCAGGGTATCAAAGCAGGTACCCTGAGCTATTAGGCCCAGATGGGCAAGTGCAAGCTTGGTCTCTTGGCAGAGTTCACTGGTAGCCTCTGTTGGTTGGGCATTGAAGTCCTGCATTCTGACTCAATCTGCCCTGAAAAATGAGATGGACTCTCAGATCCATGCTGGGCAGCAGCCAAAGTGTACTTAAGGGAAGTGGGCACGGCTTAGCCAAATGCCGGGGAAAGAGAGAATCAAAGTACGGTCGTGGCGTGACCGGCCAATTAAAAGCTCAAGGGCTGGACAGCCTAGACAAGAGGCCAAGGCCTCACGACTGCTCACGAGCTGTCAGATTCCTGAGCAACAGAGGAAACTGTCAGAGCCGCCCTTGACCATGGAGAGCTGGACCAAAGATGCAGCTAAGAACCAGTCGGTATGTTTGGACAAGCTGGTCATCACTGGGAAGAGATGGTCCCTTACATTCCCAAGCTCATTTATTTGCAAGGAGAGTTGCATGGAGGGGAGGGAAAGTTGGGGGGAATGCACTCCCCTATTGACTCAGATTTCACAGGAAGAAAGCCACAGCTGCTCAGAGTCATCCGAGAACCAACAGCGCTCTTGAGAACCCGAAGCAGGGCTGAGGATGACCCGCCCCCCAAGGGGACCATCACCTGCAGTCCCGGCTCCTGGTGCAGGAGTGACAGGACCGCTTCAGGCTCGTTCTGAATTCCATAGCTCCAGGCAGACCCGCCAACTCCCGAGCTTCCCCTCACCTTAACTGTAATGGAGCCTCACAGGTCAGTGTGGCCAGGATTGGTGGTGCTCTTGGTGGATGTGCTTTGTCTTATAGTTTACATAACTATAGTGCTTGGGAGATACAAGGCGGGGAGGAAACTACTGGGAAAACAGAGGAAGCATCCAGCAAGTGTGACCTCCCAAAGGTGTCCACGCCCTAATCCCTGAACCCATGAGTATTTCACCTCACATGACAGAAGGGACTTGGCAGGTGTGATTAAGTTAAGGATCTTGAGATAGGTTATCATGGATTATCCGGGTGGGCCCACAAGAGTCCTTACAAGAGGAAGAGGGCCAGAGTCAGAGAAGATGCGACTATACTGACAGAAGCAGGGGTCTGCCATGCGACTGCAGCTTTGAGGACATGGGAGGGCCACAAGCTAAGGAATGTGGGTGGCCTCCAGAAGTCGGAAAAGGCAAGAACGGATTCACCCCTGCAGCCTCCAGAAGGAACGCAGCCCTGCAGCACTTTGATTCCGGCCCAGTGAGACCGACTTTGGACTTTTGACCTCCAGGGCTGTAAGACAGTAAATCTGTGTCATTTTAGACCACTAAATGGGTGGTGATTTGTTACAGTGGCCACAGGAAGAGAACACGCAATGCAAGATGTTTCATCATCTGAATGCCCTGGTTCAGCCTCGTACTAATTTCCCTTAGCAAGACACAGACAGGAGTTCCCTGAAGATGTCACAGAGGCTGCTTCAGTGCAATGTTTTCTGCAAGTGAGACTATTTTACAATGATGATACGATAGTTAGGCAGAAATTTTGTTTTATGACATTTTGATACATTCTGGATGGGTCCCAAGATTTGTATGAGCCTGCAAGTCATTAGATTAAATCAGTATATAATTTGCACCCCCTCCCCCATAAGAATTATTGTACTCCTTGCTATAAACAAGTGTAGTGTTTCTGTCTTCGGTTTTTATGGGCTCAACTCCATTTTTATTCGACAGAGAAAAATGGAATGAGAGATTAATTCTGTGCCTGAGATAAACTGCTTTATAACTCTTTAAATTAAGATCTTACAGACCCTGACGTGATCAGATTTCTAATCTGGTTTAAATATACAAATCTATGAACATGTAAATGTAACAGTCAGTAATAGTTCTCTCTCTGGAACTCGCAAATGTTGGGAGTGGGTTATGCAAACTCTTGCTCTGGTTTTCTAAGATAAGATGGAAAGAAACCCAGAGAAATGAGATATCCTCTCAGACCTGTCAGAATGGACATCGTCAATAAATCAACAAACGACTGTTGGTGAGGTTGTTGAGGAGAAAAGGGAACCCCTCGCACTGTCGCTGGGATTGCAAACTGGTGCAGCCACCATGGAAAACAATGTGGAGGTTCCTCAAAGAATTAAAAATAGAACTACCATATGATCCAGCAATTCCACTTCGGGGTATTTACCCGAAGAAATCCAAAACACTAAGTCAAAAAGATATATGCGCCCCTATGTTCATTACAGCATTATACAACAGCCATCCGTTGTAAATGGGAGCATCTATGTGTCCATCAATAGATGAACAAAGAGCGGCGGTCCATATACACAATGGGATCGTACTTGGCCATAAAATGTGAAATCTTGTGACATTTGTGACAACATGACAGACCTAGAGAGTATTATGCTGAGTGAATTAAGTCAGACAGAGAGAGACAAATGCCATATGATTTCACTTACATGTGGAATCTAAAGAACAAACTAAACAGACTCATAGACGCAGAGAACTGAGGGTCGCCAGATGGGGAGGGGAGTTGAGAGGCTGGATAAAAAAGGTGAAGGGATTAAGAAGTATAAATTGGTAGTTATGAAATAATCACAGGCATGTAAAGCACAGCATAGGGAATATATTTAATAATACTGTAATAACCACGTATGCTGTCCAAGTGGGTACAAGACTTGTCGGGCTGATCACTTTGTAACTTATATAAATGTCTAATTACTATACTGCACACCAGAAACTAATATAGTACTGAATGTCAACTGCAATTAAAAATTTAGCAAATTTTTTTAAAGATGGAAAGAAATCTTCTCAAGGCACCTCAAGAGAGAAGGTAGGAAATTTGCCACATATGGAATCTGTCACAGGGCTTTGTCAATACAAATGGCGCCGTGGTTCTCACACATCCTCATGCATCAGCACCACCCCCGGGACTTGTTCAACCCAGATTTCAAGGTCCCAGCCCCAGAGCTTGCATTTCAGTAGGTTAAGGGGGAGCCTGAGACTCTGTATTTCTAACGAGCTCCCAGGTGATGCTATCGCTGCTGGTCAGGGGCCACACTTTGAGAACCATGGTAGTAAATTTCTCACATGTCCTGAGAAGGGCCAGGACCTTACTTCACCTGGGCCATGACCTTACTTCACCTGGCTGAACTGTCCCCGCCAAGCTGGTTAACATACTGCAGTCGCTAAAGCCTCTCCACCGCCCTGGAAAATGAGATGGACTCTCAGATCCATGCTGGGCAGCAGCCAAAGTGTACTTAAGGGAAGTGGGCACGGCTTAGCCAAATGCCGGGGAAAGAGAGAATCAAAGTACGGTCGTGGCATGACCGGCCAGTTAAAAGCTCAAGGGCTGCACAGGCTAGACCAGAGGCCAAGGCCTCACGACTGCTCAGAAGCTGTAGTTTTTCAAGCTCCCCGAGTGATCCAAGATGGACAACCGCTGCTCTAAGCAAACATGAAGGCTGACAAAATGATGCCAACTGGCTGAGGCAGACATTCGACAGGGAGCTAGGCCCAGGCTCGTCTTCCTCCGTGCAGGGCTCCTGCCTCTTACACTGTGATACATAGTTAATAGGTGCTCAATAAACACTTGCTGAATGACTGAATATTAATCAACCAGCAGACCTGCGGAGGACTAGTGCCTCCTTTCCCCAGGGTGCCCGGATGAATACACAAATGTGTAAACGATGTCATTATGAATTTCTAACCCTCACGAGGGCAGCGACCTTGTAATAAAAGGAGAACCTCAGAGAAAGCTCTACTTGGGAGATAACTCCACATAAGTCTCCTTTCCCCAGGGTGCCCGGATGAATACACAAATATGTAAACGATGTCATTATGAATTACTAACCCTCACGAAGGCAGCGACCTTGTAATAAAAGAACCTCTGAGAAAGCTCTGCTTGGGAGACAACTCCACATAAGCCCAAATAAATATCATGATGGCCATGGGTGAGAACTAGGAAATGCTGTTTGTCCCAGAACAGCGGTCAGCAAACCATGACCCACAGTCCAGATCCAGCTGCCACCGATGCTTATAAATAAAGTTTTACTGGCACGCAGCATGTCCATTTGCATCCGCACCGTCTGTGGCTGTCTTCACGCTACTGGGGGCGGAGCTGAAATAGTCGGCAAAGCCAGAAACACTTGCTCCCTGGCCCTCGACAGAACAAGCTGGCCAACCACTCCCTAGAGAAATAAGAACACGCACACCAACAAACTCGATGTGACTGTCTTTAGGTGGTTGAATTATGGACGACTATTTTCTTCTTATACTAGCTGAGCTTTTGAGTTGCGTGTTTACGGGATCATGTGTGTTTCAGCCATAAACGGAAGAAGGAGAGTCTGCCTCGGTGTAGGCTCTGGTGCCGGGCCACCCCGCCCGGCTCCCCGCGGTGACGGTACCTTGTTTCCGATGGCCTTTTTGGGCGGGAAGTTGTAGGCTCTCACTTGAGGGTATTTGCTCTGTAGCTTGTGGTGCAAACCCCTGAACTCTGTGTACCGCCGGTAGACGTTCCACTCATCATCTTTTATCCGGATGTAGACCTGTCGAGAAAAGGAAACAGAAAGAAAATGGAAACCTCTCTTAAAACTTTATTACAAAGGGGCGGGATTTCGGCAACGCTCCACCCATGGAAACCAGCTCTGCGAGAGCAGAGGCCACATCCGTCCCCTGTGCCACTGGATGTCCAGTGCCTGGCAGAGAGTAATGAGGGAACACATGGGCACATGAAAGACGAGTCAGGCGGGTTACGGGAACCACATGCCGTGCACCACTCCCCCGACTGGTCTCAGAGACGCAGCCTTCATTCTCCCATCACCGGCGCGTTGCGGGTTGCGGGTGAGTCTTCCCTCCTCTCTGACTACGCACCTCCTCATCTGTGCTCGGAGCTGGTTAACGGCACCCCTCCCAAGGTGGTACGGACAGCTGTGCCTGGGACTGCACAGACCCCCATACGGAGGAGGCGGGGCCAGGGTTGGGATCAGCCCAAATGGATGGAAGGTCCTCTCCAGATGGGATAAGCACAACTAGGGCATAAAACGTCTTCCTTTTAATCAAGTGTGATTCCCAAGAGAACACTCTGGGGAACCAAATCTGATGGCTGGTTCATCAGCTTTTTCAGGCCCTAACACCGTCCTGGACACGCAGCAACTACATCTCAAGGGAAAACCATGGGAGAGAGATCGATGCATTTAAGAAAATTACATGAGTTAAGAACAGCGCAGAGTAAAATCTCCAATGATGAATAGCTGTTTCAACCTGCAACCAGTGAATGTCAATATACATCTTAAAAACCTCTAAATACAGGCATCCCTAACGTGTGCGATGCATTCTGATTTTACATTTTTCATAACACGTTCAGGAGCCACCTGTTTCATTCCATGAAAGCTCTGCGTCCCCTCCCGCTTCTTCAGCGGTCCCTTCCTGGCCTTCCAGGCGGGCACGTCCTTTTCTGTCCATGTCTTAAAGGCGGAGGCTGCCTCGGGGCCTCCTCTCGCCCACACGAGCATCCACTCTCAGATCTGCACATTTCAGGTCTAGGTCAATGACTCTTAAATCTATATCTTCAGCCTGGACCTCTGATATGAACTCCAGACCTAGACCTGAAAAGATGCATCATGTCAACATCTGAACCCAAGATCCGCACTGCAAACTCGCTCCTCCTCCTCCTGAGACATCATTGTGCTCTCTCAGGGGATGGGCCACGGATGTGCCTGAGCCAAAAATCTGGGCATCAAGTGTGAATGCTGCTGTCCTTTACTCCCCACATCCGAGTACTGAACAATAAGGCCTACCACCCCCACCGCCACCCCCACCTCAAAATACACCTCTAGAGCTATCTCCACCCCCACCAGGACCGCCACAACTGGCCTCTAGTTGTCCTTCGAGCCTGCTGTTTGACCCCATTCAATCCATTTTCATCTCCCCTGTTCAAATTCACTTGATGACTGCCCATGAAGGATGCTCATGCCAGCTGGGTTTGGAGGTAGGTATGTGGCAGCCTCTGGGGGCCCAGAAGGCTCCCGGCATCATCATGACCACCTTACTTCAGGCTCCGCTCCTTGCTTTGGCAAATGCCAATCTGCCTTCATTTTCTTTAAAATCCTTTAATTTCTTAAATTCTTAAAAATTCCTTTACAACCAGAATGGTGCCAATTTGCCTGCTTTTCTTTAAGACATTCTGTAAGATGTTCAGATCAGAGCAAATATCCTGCTAGAAAGAGTTTTTTTGGCCTTCCAACTTCCTCTTCCGTGTAGCCCCTGCTGTGGGAGACAGCAGGCATTCAAGGACTCGGAACTTCAGGATGCTGGCGTTAGAAAGGACCTCCGAAACCATTAGCTCAAATTATCGGATCCATGTGACAAATACCTCCTCCCTATTCCATATTCTCCCCTTTGAGAAGGTGCACCCAGGTCTAGCTCCAGTGGACCAATGACTTGGGGGGAGCTACCTGGACTGAGGATGAGTAAACCTCCCAAGAAGAGGGAGTATCGTGGGCGTGATGAACAAGGAAGGAAGGGGAGGAAGAGCCTGTTGGTGGAGAGGAGGGGAGGGGAGGTGACATCATGTGACTGGTAAGGAGACACTACGCATACAGGTGGTTAAGAGCACAGACCCTGCAGCCAAACCCCCGATCCCGACTCTGCCCAGCACCAGCTGCGTAGCTGAGAGCTACTTAACTTTCTGGGGCCTCTGCTTCCTCCCTTGAGAAATGGGGATAATGGTACCTCCCTCACTGGGTCTTGGGAGCATTAAATGAGCCTAGACCAGGGCCTAGTACATAGAAGGTGCCACGTGAGTGTTCAATAAGTAAATAATTAGAAATAACCTTATTGGGGGATATTAACTAGTCTTATTGAGATCATTTTGCATTATATACAAATACTGAATCGTTACGTTGTACACCTGAAACTAACACAATGTTATAGGTCAATTATACGTCAAAAAAAAATAAATAAATAAGTTTAGAAAAATGATTATTGGTTGGGCTGCTCTGGGAAATGACAGGATTTGGATTTTGGAAGCCTCTGACCCTCGCAGTCAGCTTTAACATGAATCTCCTCCAAGCGCTTGGCTGATGGACACTGGGCTACAGCAAGCTCTCAAGACACCATGGCGCTTCCCAGGAGTCAGCACTCCCACCACCTACCACTAAGTGATGGCAGGCAAATGGCTTCTTTCTGAGTCTCAAGTTACTCATCTGAGGAATGGGTATAATCCAAAAAACCAATGCCCGAAAGCATTCATAAAAATGCCTGGCCCTCCACGGTGTCAGCTGCTGCTGTTGCTGCCATTATCATCAAAAGCATGAATTCTGCAAACTTTAAGAAGGACTGCCATTGAAGTCACACCTGTCTTAGCTTTTCGAAGTCTACTATAAGACTTTTGCTTGGTAAAGAACAAGTATGCAGATTTCTAATGACTCGGTCCTAAGGTTTAGAACAAATTATGCTGTGGGTCATTAAAATTATTTAATACAAATACAAATTATAATGCCCCCTCCCTCAAAAAAGCTCCACAAATATGAATCTCCAAACGTGATTTCTCAGGCACACATGAAAGCAGCCCTCCCTGCCGTGGAGACTGGACGAGGCGGCTCCTCCCAGCCCCGGCATGTGCTCCTCGGGTGTCTCTGCTTCTTCCAGGCCTCATTTCCTCATGTGTCACGTGCAGGGTTGGACTAGGTGGTCCCCACGTCCCTTTACAGCCCGCAAGTTTTGTCCTCTGCATCCCCAGGTGATATACAGTCTCCAAATACTCCCTGGGCCTCTTCCTGTCCACACCCCACTCGCATCTCATTGTGGAGACCAAGGTGTTTGTGGGACCAGGCGGGAGGCCCGACTGGAGCTTGATTAGGGGGAACTTAATACGAAAAGCAAAGGCAACAGCAGCACCCTCCTTGGAGCCTCTTTCTTCAGAGCTCAGTGTCTGAGTGTCCCCCTGCCGAGCTGGGAGAGCGGCCTTGCGGGAACCCTGGGTGGCGAGCACGAACGCTCACCAAGGAACCAGGGGCAGAGGGGGTTCTGGATGCTTCCATCATGTTTCGTGACCCTCCTCGCTCCTCCCTCTGCCAGCACCACTGGGCGGAGGCCCTCCCAACGTGAAGGGTGGCCAGCGGGCATCCTGTACCAACTTGTTACATTTGGAGGCCACCAGATAATGGGGGGTGGGGGAACAGTCACAGCCCCTGGAGACCAACCACAGACTTCAGGTCAAGCACCCATGTTCCCATTTTCTGCTGTGGTCTGGATGCCGATCGAACCCTAATCTCTGCAGTCAGCAGTCAGTTATGAAGCTCTAGGAGAAATTCAGCAAGAGTGGAGGTGCCAACTGCCAGGCCCCAACGAGGAAAATAATATTTTTTAGAGTTCCAACAGAATACAAATACCTTCAACGCTCCCACTTGACATTTATGGAGTTCTTACTATGTGTGGATACGCCAGGCACCCGAGTGCCTCACCGTTCATCGTCAGTTAATCCGCAAGGCAGATGGTGTGAACGGCCCCTTCTGCAGATGGAGACGTGGGCCCGAGGGGGCACGTCACTTGCCTGGCGGGTGGGGAGGTAGGGAGGTAAAGGACTTGAACTCAGGTCTGCCTGACGGCGAAGGCCCAGTGCTTTCTATCACAGCACACCGCTGCAGTAACCGAGGCTGCTGAAGGCCCAGGAACCCCACCAGCAATGCTGGCAGCCGGGGACAGTAGCTGCCAAGGAGGGTCCCTGCACGGTCCCTCTGAGACCCAACTGCCCCCTTCCTGGGCAGATCACGGGTCCTCAGAACGGTCTCCAGTCTCACCTTCTTTACGCCTCTCCCTTCAGGAACCTCGCGCCATTAAGATCGCTCAGAATGACCTACCTGGGCGGTTAGCCCTCAGCAGCCACGCATTCAGCATCCAAAATTTGGAAACTTTCTCTGCAAAGTCCAAATTGCTCAACCAAATTGGGTACTTATTTCACTAAAGAACTGAAAGAGCTTATGCCCCAAATTGTTAGTTTTTTATTTTTATTTTTTTACTTTAAAGGGCTCTCCATCCAAATTAAGTTTGCTATGCCCAATTGCTTCTGCTTGAGCCATAAAGATAATAACCCCTTGGAGGAGGAGAGAGTTGACCTCAGCTGGCAAAACCAAGTTCTCTTAAAACAAGCAATGAAAAGCCAATTCAAGTCCGAACTCCTTGCCTCAGCAAAAGAAGCATAAAATAGGAGGGTGATATCTGTCATCAGGAACCTGCCCTTGTTTTAAAAGGAAGAGCTTCTTGAGT